GTTATATGATTATAACAGGTAAAATTATTGCATTCGCAGATGCATTATGATTATCGAAAGGTTTTCGACTATAGTCGTGAAAATTCTGGGGAGTTCCTCCAAAACAGTACCGTTCGGACTTTGACTGGAAGGGTCGAAGTTTCCCCAACTGTCCAAAGAATGTACAGCTGTTTTTTTCTTTGCAAATACACAACGACCTTGCATTATTTTTAATTCCCAGCCAATCCTAGTTAAGGCCTCAAATTTGACCCGGGTCTGTGGGTCTCATCATCGGCATTTTAGCCGCAGCTTGGTTACAGCATAGTTACAGTAACGACCTCAAAACCATGCTGTTTGGAAAGACTAGATTAGGCCCTAAAACCACGAGAAACACCGAGAAGATGGATGATTGCTACGTACAGTGTTTCAGCTTTTCAAGTGGTCATTATACCATTGTGTGCTCACGGCTTCTCTCGAGATTTCACACCTGTTACCCTTTATCTTACAAACGACAGATCAAGGCTTATTAAATGCGTAAACAGAGTCAAGACGTTTTCACATTAAGTCTTGTGGAGATAGCTTTCTGGCAATCTGAATAGAACTCGGAAGAGCGGACCTTCGAGTATCGAAGTTTTTTGAAGTCGGAAGTTTGGTTTAAATGTGTTGTCTTTAATTTTCGTTTACTTTATCCTCCCTGGGGTTGGCCAAAAGCTTCAGAGTATCCGGATGACAAACGAGAGGGGGGAAGTCATGCACAGAGAGGCCCTCGGATGCAAGATCAGCTTTATGACAATCGCAAACAAAACCCCCTGGGCGTATTTTTTTCTCGAAAGACGATCAGTTAGCTCAGGTTCCATCCCTACTTTGAATCCCATTCTACCTTTTACTTCCGTGTCCAGTAGGATAAATGACTCTCCAACGACTTTCAAAACGAGAGAGGCAGCGCGAAACCCGACCTGCAAACTCTAAGAAACGTAAACGTCTGTCAAGAATTGGATTATTATCCAGAGGAGGAATTAAGTGAAACCGAATAGTAGCATTTTGTCCAGACTTGCGCAACAATAAGTTGAAGCAGGTCATGTTTAAGAGATCGAACTGCCATTTCTTACAGATTTTAATCAGCAGCACATGGGACAAATACCTGTACTGCTTTAAAGATACCGATTTTCACTAGAACTGGTTCACTAAAATGAATTTAATTTACAAAAACAAGTGGTAGTTCTATGAGAGCATGAAAGGAAGACGAAATGTTTCATTAAAAAACGAGTTTCTGCATTAAAAGAAATGAGAGTGCTTGATGTCGAAAGAAGCAGTAAATAATTTGCTGAAAAAGGACTAGTTTCGATGCCCAGGGGAGAAAAAGGACACAATCTTAATCGGACTCCCACACGATGACGAAAAATCGATGCACACGTCACATCGGCTGCACTGCTCAGTCTAATGACGTCATACAGACACCGGGCTATTTTGAATCTTGCTCCAGGAGCAGATGTCTCATCAACATTCCCTCCCTCCAGAACACCACTTGATGCTTTGTCCCCGCCCCCACAGGCTGATGTAGATCGACCAGATTAAAAGAATTTACTCCTGCCACTTACCGAAAGTGGTTGTTTGTGAGACAGACATAGTTGAGTGCAGGTGGTTTGATAAAATACCTATTGATGAAAACAGAGCCCAAGGGCCTTCAAATTCCGTCCAAACTTCTGTTCCTTTTTGTCCCTGTTATTCCCCGATAATCGGATCAAAACAAATATTTCCCCTCTGAAAGAAATTATTGTTGTTGACGCACTCGATTAGTAGTCGCACAGCGTGAAAACTATTCGCTTGGCTTTGGAACCTTCTTGCCTTGATACCTTCTAATAATAGAGAAATCCTGTAATGAATGACTGATTTGCGCCCAAGGATCAGTTTCGAGAATGCATGTATTGTACGTCAACCATTTATGTCAATGCGTGGACGGTTGGGGTAAGGTCATCTTCCAGTTCACATGCTTTGAAAGCAATGGTGGAATGGTGATTCTCATTGCAGGTAGGCCCTGTACTAGCTCCTGAAAATTACCTGCGATGAAAAAATACTGGGATATTTTCAGGATATAGGAGACGAATGTTAGTGCCATTTAATGCTTATGCATAATACATGTAAATGGCATATTTTGGCCAAGTTGAAACATGCACGCTCTCGTATATAGTTTTATCCATCAAAGCCCGATGCTGTTGAGATGTGTCATCTTATCATGCTTATTCCTTACTTTGCAGGCAGCGCCGCTGAAATTTAAGTGTGCCGCTGTTACGCCCCAACTATAGCATAAGTCCCAACTATAGTTGAGACAGTCCCAACTGTTGTGCTGCAGTTGGGCTGGCCCAACTATTGTTGACCAATGTCTGTGGGAAATGTCTCAACGTTATCCAAGTCAATGTGTCTCACACTTGACACAATTGATGAAAATTGTGGCACTTAGCCCTATGACCAATGACATGACATTTGTAAACAATATGACTTTGGCACATGCTGGGCACATCATGCACACAGGACCTATCTGCTTTAGTTGGGCCGGCCCAACTGCAGCACTCTAGTTGGGACGGGCCCAACTATAGTTGGGACTGATGCTATAGTTGGGGCGTAACAACACTCTTTCTTTCCACCAGGAGACAACCCTCGTCGTGCAAACCAACAATTTCAGCGGCTCTTAATTACTAGACAGGCGATTACTACTTGGCAGGTTGACTCCTGAATAATCGATCAGGCCTCCCATTTAAAGAGACCTATTGCGGATTGTGTAGAGAGTGCACAAAATCACTAATTAACTCAAATTATACTTGGCTGTTAGTGTAAATATAAATGCTGGCACATGCGTTATGCATGGAAGGCTGAGAAGACAGAGCAGGATTTCTAGAAGAGGAACGGGTAATATGAAACTAAGAAAGCACTGGGCGTGAAATACCACCCGTATAATCAGCCATTAAGGAGAATTCAATGAATATTTGCTTGATCTTCAAGGAGGAGAATTTGATACCTATCTGCATAGACGACAGGGTAGCACATTGCGCGTGCTTTTGCGTATAGCCTCGATTGAGGAAGAACTGAAGCGTACTTTTTTAACTAATTAAACCATCTATCAGCAGTCATCGAAAGGTCAAGCTTCGGCTAAAGTCAATCCGTAAATTACACCTTAAGAACAACGAGTTTGCCCTTTTGAGGCTATTCATTCCGCCTTCGGTCAGCCTGCTTGCTCGCAGTTAAATAATGCAATGCCAGCGATGAAAACGGTCGTTTTCACGCCATCTCCGTGTGAAAATAGCACGGAGCCCGGGACTGCTTTCAGCGGTCGGCTTTGTCAACAAGCAGGCATTCTCCACCCAGAGATCGGACGGCCTCTGAGGATGAGCACTTATAGTTTCATAGCAAAGCGCCAGAAATCCACAGGAGACCAAAATATTGTGCCGTCAACAGTACCCGCCAATGTTATTGTTCGGTTGAAATCCGTTGTTTGGATACGCGCGGATCCTGCATGTCATATTAATCGATGGGTAAAATTTTGGCCCTTTTTGGCCATGAAGTGAAGTACGTCCATCATAAAGGGTTTTTCAAGATTTGTAAAGAATCGTTGAAGAGTATATTTTTGATTTTTTCTCCCGAAAGGCACTATTCTATTTGAGAATAGCGTGTGAAAGTGACCCACAATTTATTAACAGTCAAATAACTTAATAAGTTTGTTTTACAGCAAACAGTCCTTAATCTAGGATCGCTATATTATGTGAGAAAAAGTGAATCCCATAAATTCAGGAGCAATGATTAAGAAATTCATCACCTTCAAGGGCACATATAGGTGGAAATGAAGACCCAGTGGAGAATTTGATATTGATATGGCTGCGCGCACGCGCGTGGTTTCGTTTGTATGACTGGTTTCTGCAGGCTTACGAGCTAGAGTGCCTAGGGTGCTTTTGAGGATTCCTGGGTGTCATTACCGGGAATAATTAATAAAAAATAATAGTTGTAGTGAAACTAAATGTAAATGGAGAAACTAATATGTATTAAAAATAAATGTATAATAATGTCCAACGTATTTATTTCTTGAGGTTGATAGAGTTTCCCCCCCCCCAAATAGACACACCAACAACCGATAGCAAAACACAAAGACGAAAAAGACAAACAATGTAAACCCATACATGAGACTCTATACCTGCTTAAAAGATGCAAATGACATTTGGCTATTTGCAAACGAACTCAGAACCATTTTTTTGGGGGGGGGCTTTTTGGAAGGCCAAAAAATATGATTTTTTTAATGCAACCTGTTTTGGCCTTTCTAAGGGTTGAGGCTATATTTTGGGCTATTACACACGCTTTTGGAGGAGAGAGAAATGGGATACAAAAAATTGTCTTTCTCTCATTAATTAAAAAGAAAGGGTTCTTTTAGGGAGGTAAGGGGTAAGCCCCACGTTGCTACCCCCCCCCAATTTTCACTTGATTGAAGTTAATTTCTTCCAGCGCAGCAAGCATCTTGTGCGAGAATCGAGACGGTAGCTGAAGTTTGATAGTAAAAGTCTCAAGTTCGTATAGGTCCTTGAACGCCTCCACATTCAATGTTGGCAGTCTCACGGAACGCTGAATGTATAGGCGCTAGTTGTAGAATCTTAATTGCGACGATCTTGCGCAGATGGAATGTTAAAGTTTGTAGCACGTGGCGTTGACATTTCAACAACGCTCGTCTTATAAAAATGGCAAAAGCGCGTATCAGGTGGATATTGGTTGCTTGAATAAACAGCCTTGAACAAAGGCTATCACCGGTGCGTTGTGACAACATCTCTCCTGGAGGGTTTAGTGTTGCGTTCCCTGGTGGCTCAGCTGTTTGTGGAGGAAGAAGGGGCACAGTTCTGCGTCATGAGAGGCAGACAGATAGATTGAGGTTTAATAGCACAGCACCACCTGCCAACACGACGGAATGAGATAAAAATAACTGTAAAATTTAAAGAGTAATTGATTTTTGTGGGGTTTGTTTCTTCGGTTTTTTTTTCGCTATGCAGCGCCAGAATGGGCTGTGTAGAGAGCTCGAACCAGTCACCGGCCAAACGATCCCAGTCCACGGCCAGCCATGGGGCTCGTCACAACGGCTCCAGGGCCAAGGCTAGCCAGACGAGGCAAGGGGTGCGGCAGATGAACGCCTTCATGAAGACAGTGGACATCGCGACACAAACGGAAGAGACAGCTGGACTTCTGCTGCGGCGACTGAGCAGCAGGATCAAACAGAGGCACCGGAGGTCCACACGGGGCCAGAACGTTGAGCCCCCTGACCGGTCATTGCTCTTTGATCTCAACCGCAGCGTAGCTTTGACTCATTCCAAAGTGGCCGACTACATTGACCAGGCTTTGGCGATGCCGGGGGAGCGGAGGGGACCAGACGCGGGCCAGAGTGTGCCCAATGGGACCATCGCAACTAGTGATCAGGGACCCTTATCTGACAGGGATAAGAGCCTTGTGCAAGGATGCTGGAAAGAGGTCCGGAAAGACCTGGTCGAGTTGGGAGTCGATTTATTTGTTAGGTAAGCCGTTGAATGTATTAATCTCAACATGCTTATTATCAATAGTCTTTTGCTACAAGAGGGTAAATATTAACTTTTCATAAATGCCACTCAAAATATAGAATTCAGAACTAAGTTTGTTTTAACAGCACTCCTTCTGTCTTATGAGTTGATCCTCTGTAATACTTGTGTTCATTTGTGTCGGTATGAAGTTTATGTACTTTTCGTTCGGACTGTATGTACTCCATATGGCAAAATGAATTCTTAGACCCCAAATGCAGAATGACATTCAAGACAAAGTCAGTATAATATTACTCGCACTGCTCTTACTTATCACTCACTCAGCCACTCACTCACTCATTCACTTACTCATTCACCCTGTCACTCACTCTTCAGATGGTAAAAAAACTCCAAAATTTCCACAAGATCGTTACGATATTGGAGACATGATTTTTAACTTCATCAGCTCAGTTTGAGGCTGTGATCGACCTTTCTTCAACGTTTTGCCCAGAAGAGTTAATTGGTTTTAATTCGAGGCATAAGACAAAACTGGTACATGTATTTGTCCAGTGTCCAACTCTAACTTATGGAATTCCATATCTGCTGTCGCCCGTCGCCCGTCGGCCGTCGCATTTTGCTTTTTGTTGTGTCCCAATTCTGCCATGTACCAGTTCCAAACATGCCATTTTCCGTCGTCCGTCGTGCGTCGCCCGTCGTGCGTCGCTCGTCGTGCGTCGCCCATCAAATGGGTTGCATAGGACCTGCAAAAGCTGGGGTTTAACAAATGACCATTTGATGATTCCATTTACTTCTAAGACTAAAGATCTTTTCCGAATAAGGCAAGTACAAATCCTGCCTGCAAAGCAAATACTAGTCACATAATTAATTCCAATAATGCCAGACAACCCCTGCCCCTTAACAAGAAAATATCGCCTCTGTGAGAATTCAACCAAGTGTTTTTTAGGGAAAAACATTTTCAGCAAAAATGTTCAGGCCAACTCATCCACAGTGTTATTCTAATTTGCATACTGTAAAAATGTGCCGACTTGTTTTCATCAAATTCCAGGAAGAAATCTGCCTACCGATACAGATATTCCATCTTGTCCTCTCGATTTCTCCTTGAAATCCAGAAATACTAGACGTGCTGTGGATAACAAACTGTTTATTAAATGTATTGTTAAGGGGCAATTACCACTTGGTTTAAGTTTCAGAAAATATGACGTGTTGGTTTTTGTGGGTGTGTATGCTAACAAGTAACGTTACTGTTTAAAAGACTTCTGTGAGCCAATCTGCAACTAAAGTCATGTCTAATTTGGAGTATATAGGCCTACAGCAGATTTCATCATAGGTATACCCGCCCTCAAAATAATGTTGAATCAGTTCGTCTCTTATGAAAACTATTAAGGTATCAAACATTGTAAATAATCTATTATTTACATTCCGTTCTGTGGGATATCGTGCAGGGACAGACAGAAATATTACATAGGCTATAGACCTAAAGTCAGGCTGTTATCGAGTAAAGTTACGTCTACAGTAACTAAGTTATCGAGAAAAACAATCTACCCTAACAAAAATCTATTTTGTTAATTTATTTATGTAACCAAAGTGGTATTATTTCATATACACGTTCTTTCTTTCTTTCTTCTTTCTATACGGCCGTTTCACAATAATGCGCCCTCAAGAGTTTGCAACGCGTTGGCCAATCACACCGTGCGAAGTTTGTCGACCCAATGCGCGTTTGGAAAGGGTCGACAAATTTCGCGCGTTATGATTGGCCAACGCGTTGCAAACTCTTGGTGGCGTACTATTGTGAATCGCCCGTATTGGAGTTTGGCGCAACTGCAAAAGCGAATACTTGTACATCTTATAGTTCTATTGCTAAAATGAGAGTCAGGCATGGTGAATCGATCGAACAAGGACATGTACATGTGAAACGATCAAGGGTCAAAGTTAAAATTACCACTGCGCAATCGTGACAAAAAAAAACGACGGGCGACGCACGACGGAGGACGCACTATGCACGACGGGCGACGCACGACGGGTGACGCACGACGGACGACGGGCGACGCACGACGGCAGATATGGAATTCCATACTAACTTGTATAGAGAGTGATCATTCCGTAGGGTAGTGGCATACCTATGGGGAGGATGTGTAGAAACAGGAATAAGATTTACGCAGTTACAGCATTTGGTAGTAAAGAAGTGCATGTTGGATACAGTCTACGGTATTTCCTATTTTACTATACCTTATGTTTTGGGGCTCTTGTACACAGTATTGAGAGTCCAATACTTTCGGATGCAATGCAGAAAGGTAAAAGAAAAGGACTCTGAACTGCGAAATGGGACTCTGAATTGTGAAATGGATAGGTTAGTTTACTGAACAAAAGACAGGAAAGTCATACTTACTATTTTAGGCTGCTAGAGGACTATCCGACTCTGAGGGATCTCTTCCCTTTTGGCAAACTCAACCTGTCAACGGAGAAGCTGAGACACAACCAGGACCTTCGAGGCCACGGCCAGCGGGTCATGGAGACCATCGGCACGGCGGTCGAAGGGCTGGACGAGTGGGAACTGATCGTCCCCCTCCTAGAGGACCTAGGGGCGAGGCATAAGGGGTACGGCGCTGCCCCGGAACACTTCGTGGCAAGTTACGCTGTTGAATTTTCTTATTTCGTCAGGAACGCTGAATCTCGAAGCAGCTCCTGATGACATGACCGCTTAGTGTCATCAACCATCTTAGCGTTTGCCTGCACGATGCATGCATAAATATTCTACAGCAATATTTTCCCGTTTTCTTAGAACATCCGTTTGACTTAGTTTCTTGTAACGAATTCATCGAGGACAGAGTTTAATTTCAAGCCCATTCCTTACACGATTAGGAACCTCGGTAGTCCTGGAAACAACAACAACCTTAACTAAAAACTGCTCGAAAGCATTATACAACGTCATGGTTTCGTCACACTTGTGAAGAAGGAGACAGGAAAACACAATCTGTGCATTAATTTAGTTTTTCAGGATTCATGAGTTTGCACGTCAGTTTGGGATGGATTTTCTAAACCTATTCTGCACACTGTTTATTTCCAGCCCCTCGAAGAGGCTTTCATGTTTTCTATGAGGAACGGTCTCCCACCCAAAGTGTTTACCTCAGAGGTACAGGGGGCGTGGAAAAACTTTTGGAAGGCGGTTATCGAAATAATGAGCGAGACAATGAGGTACTTTACATTGAGAGGCGAGATGATGTACCAGCTAGAAGCATTATAGGGTCTCTTTGCCGGTTCTCAAAATATTTTCCCAACCCCTCTTAATACTACTGCGTACGTCATTAAAAGTGACAGTTGGTTGCATCGACGTCACATAAAAACTCTCTGATTGGGAACTTTAAAGCATCTGGAACATCTTGTTTATGAATTAGCGGTTATTAAAATACCATGCTGTAAAACCTTAAAAATAATTCTTGGGCTTTTGATTTGTTTCTAGGCAGTCAAATATTAAAAGGGGATTTTCCTTAGATGGAAAAAACGGGGAAATAATGGGTTTCATTGTCTAACTTTGGGTTCTATTTGGGTTATCTATGCATTCATGTAGCAAACTGTCAGAAGCTCCAATCATTTGTCATCAAACATCTTCATACATCATCAACTTAGCATCAGGTTGGTCATAAGACTAATCTTCCCCCCCCCAAATTTATCCAGAACTGGTCGAGGATTTGTTGAGAACCACGACGAAGGACCAATATCCCCGAGAGACAAACGACTGGTGCAAGGAAGCTGGAAAGCTGTCGAGAAAGACTTGGACAACTTGGGTGCAGCCCTCTTTGTCAGGTGAGACCAATAATCAATGGTATCTGTACATTACATAAAATGGCGTAAACTACTGTTGAATTGTTGGTTCATTTTAAATATATCTGCAAGGGTCCTAGTCAGAGTTAGGTTTTAGATTTCTCATATTTCTCCTCTCCCTATATTTAAGCATCGACCACCAACGAAATCGTCTGACCCTTGTCTCATTAACAGGCTTCTTGGGAAAAACCCAGCCATAAAGTACCTCTTCCCATTTGGCAAGCTCAACTTATCCCCGGAAAATCTGCAGCACAACCCGGACCTCAGAGCTCATGGCAAGGGGGTCATGGAGACGATTGGCACGGCGGTGAACACACTGAATGAGCTGGATAAGCTTGTGCCCTTCTTGAAGGACCTGGGAGCGAGACATAAGGCATACGGTGCCAAACCCGAACACTTCAAGGTAAATTACTACGGTTCCTGCAAAAGAATTTTAAAAATTTAAATATCTGCAATATTCAGTAACAATAGACAGTTTAAAGATATCTAGACAAAGTTAAACCAAAGGCGATCATACTTTTCGATAAATGTAAGTCATGTTTTCGTAGACGTGTTTTCAGTGTGCGTTGTCTGTATGCGTAAGTTGTGGAAAGTGAAAGACGATACACGCTACCGGCGCAGACGGAACGGAAACGCAAGACATACGGACGGGTGCTTGTATTGTTACCGACACGTATAAAGTTATGTATCTTCCTAAAAAAAGATCTTTTCACATAATTTATTGCAGAACTGAGACCCCACAAGACTATCGCAAAAAGCCTTACAAGACCGTCACCAGATCGTGAAAAGAACCTTCAGTTCGACTTCACGATTCAAAGGAACCATCACTAAAGCATTCCGTTGTTGTTCACAATGTGGCTTTTGAATGGTTTCCTGACTGGTCTCATTGTCTCGTCAGTCCTGTCCTATTACGTTTATTCAAGCAAAGTTGAAAATGAGATCTCGGTTGCATGTGTGTTCTGAAGCTTGTTTATAGCATCTGTCAGTTTCAAAGGAGGCGTTCGCCCATTTAATTTTGCCAGCCTCTTGCTGAAGCGTTTATGCTCACCTTGAAGGATGGTCTCCCGCCGAAGGTCTTCAACTCAGACGTACAGGGAGCTTGGGAGAATGTCTTACAGGTGGTTGCAGAAGTCATGAGTTCCACTATGAGGTAGGAATTATACAAGCGGGACACTGAACTGAGATGTTACCGAAAATGTCATCAGTTTTTGCCTAACTTTTCCAGACAACTTTTATAGTCTTCTAGATGAACACAGAGTTAAAACTTTTAATACGAAATATAGAAGTGCTCACGGTGTCGATATTAGAGGGTTTACCCCCCCCCCGGAGGTTTCAGGTACTTCTTTTTTAAATGTTACTCTAAGACGTATCCTTATAATTAGCAGTAATGGTTGATTAATACTCAGAAAATTTAAACAGATTTAAGGTGCATTTGTACTTTGCGTATGATGTCCCAGCTGATATCAGAAGGAATCAATAAGGAATATACAGATAGTCGAGTCATTGAGTGATTATAGTTATGTAATTTTCAACTCCATATTATGCTGAGCTACATTGTTTTATTAGTATATAGTTCAGACAATTCCTGTCCAATTTTGCCAAATGTTGCTTCTGAAATAGTAATGATTAGGTCCAAGGCCCGAGGAAAACGTACACGCACAATCAAAGACACCTATTATAAGATCAAAGAAGGACTTTGTCATTTCGACAGAGCTTAAAAGCTGACGTCACGCGAAAATAATCTTGCTCGTTAATATTTGGTGCGTACTGGGTATTTACTGCGTAGGCCTATTGTTTAATGAGCTTTTTTGGCCTATTGAGGCATCACTGTTCTTTTATTGTTTCGATACTAATCGAGCAGGACCGATAGTGTCGAGAATGGTCCTGTGGATGGTGTCGAAGGTCCAGTTTCATCGAAAGACAAGCAACTGGTCCAAGAAAGCTGGAAGATCATACAGAAAGACTTAGTCAACTTGGGAGCAGTCCTTTTTGCAAGGTTAGTCATCGTTAAAATAGCTCCACTCACTTGTCTCGACGGCGTGACAAGTCAAACAGCCTGTTATAGACATTTGTGAAGTGTAGGCCTGTTAAGGTTTTTTTATTCAAAACTAATTTGGACACATAAAATTTGTGTTTGGAAAAAAATCTACATCAAACATTCCAACGGTGATATTTTTGTTTCCACGATAAGGCTTTTGGAAAAGAATCCGTCTGTACAGAAACTCTTCACCTTCGGCAAACTTAACCTTCCACCGGAAAAGCTGAGGCAGAACCCAGACTTACGAGCTCATGGCAAGGGGGTCATGGAAACAATTGGAAGCTTGGTTACCAGTCTGGACGACATTGATAAAGTTGTACCGATGCTGGAAGATCTGGGATCCAGGCATAAGATTTATGGTGCCAAACCTGAACACTTTCCAGTGAGTATTTTCCTGAGTAGTTTCACCAACGTGTGTTATGTCACTTTGGAGAAATGTCACGTACGAATGAAATGCCCATGGCCGGAGAAACAAGGAATACGCCTGTGTGAAATTCGTAAAGCCGTTGGTTTGAGGCTTCCATATGCGTGTGCGTTTATGCCTAACCGTAGAAAAGTAATCCACACACAGCTGAGGCACGCTTAGAAAATGATGATGCATAGGCTACTAAATCGAAAGTAAGTTCTTGCTAGCACATAACTATTTGCCATTGTGATCATAGAACAATTTTTCTATTTCCTGAAATCGTAAAGGTATTGATGTGTTCCCGGTCTTAACTGTTTCTTTTGTATCTACCGCAGGCTGTGGTTGAGGCGTTCATGTATTCCATGAAAAACGGTTTATCACCCAAGGCTTTTACCTCTGAGGTGCAGGAGGCTTGGAGGAACATTTTGAAGGTGGTAGAAGCGACGATGGGCAGCACAATGAGGTAAACATTCAACCTCTTCCTTTGTATTGAGAATGTGACTCGCTGAGTTGTCAACTTAGACAAATTTGCCTAACACGAGATTAATTATAACCATGGATACAAGGTTAATTATAACCATGCCTCAAATCAGTACCTCAATCTGCACTGGACATCTGTGAATAATAGGTTTTTCATTCACTGCACAATAATTTTTTTCTGGGGTTATTTCGAATTTGTGGACGAGTTGAGGCATACTCAGTTGGTTAACGTGACGTAATTGAAGTATAACCTTTAGCGCATTGTTGATGGATAGGTTCCAACTATATGTGTAATCTGGCGCTTTGAAAAGAATACGGGAACTTTTTGGGATAATTTGAAAAGCGCTTTAGTTGCAACGGTAATACGGCTCGAGCCCCATAATTTCGCTTCTATTATTCTTCTTTTTCAAACTGTCCTTTTCAGAAGCGACAAGGATGGCGTCTCAGATAAGAAATTCGTATCTCAAAGAGACCAGAAGCTTGTCCAAGGAAGTTGGAAGCTCGTTCAAAAGGATATTGTCAACTTTGGCGCCGTTATGTTTGCAAGGTTGGTATTAATTCTCTTATCCAAAAACAGCTTGGGACTGCGTAATGATTTGGAACAAGAATAGCTCTGATGTGTGATGGAGTGGAATCAAAATCCACTCGCGATCTCTTATGGTTTGATTTTATGCTTTTGAAATTCTCCGCTGCTCTTAGGGGTCGTCTATTTGCATCTCTTGATCTTTTTTGTTCAGGCTTCTTGAGAAGAACCCAGGCGTGCAGAAGCTCTTCACCTTCGGCAAGCTCAACCTACCACCGGCCAAACTGCAACAGAACCCGGACCTGCGAGCCCACGGGAAAGGGGTTATGGAGACGATTGGCACGGTGGTGACCGGTCTGGATGACTTGGAGAAGATTTTTCCTGTCATTGAGGACCTTGGAGCCCGACACAAGATGTATGGGGCGAAACCGGAGCACTTCCCAGTAAGAATAACACGATGCATGTTCCCATATAGTCTTTTTTTTATTATCATTATTCGAAGTGCAATTATGAGATCCGGTTGAGCAGTTGACGCGGATGAAAAGACAGATAATAACCGCAGCTGATCAAGAATTCCATTCACAAGTCCTTTGAGCTGAATGTCACTGTCTATACCCCGTCCCAACGTTACTGCATGGGGACTGAGCTTGCCTTAATTTGAGATTCACTAGATTACAACTTTATATAATATTATTCCAAATGAGTGTTCAGTGTGACGATATCCATACGAGGAAAATATAGGCCTATCGTGATACTATTTCGGTTGCTATCATTATTTAAGTTCAACCCCTTCAGCCTGCCCGGCTATACACGAGTTTCAAGTTGTTCAGTATTTGTTTCCTGGTAATTTTCGCAGGCTGTGGTCGAGGCGTTCATGTATTCTTTGAAGAACGGTTTGTCGCCTAAGGTGTTCACCTCGGAGGTGCAGGAAGCTTGGAGGAACGTCTTGAAGGTGGTAGATGTAGTGATGACCGGAGCTATGCGGTAATTACACTGTAGACTTTTTTCAAAATGGGATTAAGATGATGTACACAGGGGATGGGAACTCAATGAGTTTAAATCGGAAGCCAAGAATCCTCGAAAAATGGGGTTGGTTACTTAGTGGCCATTTGTAATTCCTGTCAAAATGTGAATTAGTAGACTTCAAAACGGGAATTATAGATCAGGGAGCCCATTGTTGAAATTGCACTACTTCAACCGCTTTAAGGGTTATAAGTACTACGATGATTTCTCCATCGTGATAAGGAAGGAGCTTGTTGCGAGCTTGAGTCATTCTCAGTTGCCTCAATGATCATTCGTGCAGTATGGATGAGAACGGAAATGTGGGCGACGGGCCGATTTCTTCAAGAGAGAAGGAGCTGGTCCAGACCAGCTGGAAGATCATGCAGAAGGACTCTGTCAACTTGGGTGCGGCTATTTTTGCAAGGTTTGTCGGTGATCGACGAATATCCCTTTTGATTCAAACCAATCAAGCACCATCATCAGCGAACTTTGTTTTTTTTTTCAATTTATTCGCCTAAAGGTGAAATGTACATGATAACAAACGATTTTAAAAGCTAAGATGATAATAAATTATGAGATTTCCATGGCAGCGGTTATTTAATAAATGGCACTAAACTACGTTGTGAACTTAATAAGCTGTATCCTGTGCAGAAATGTTTTTCGATTACCGTACTGAATAATTCTTAGAGAGTACCATCGATGCTTTTGTTCAGTTTTGATTGCTTTGTTCGATTTACATTCGATTTAAATAATCACAGTTGAATTGTCTTTCCTCTCGATGTTAAAGGCTCCTCGATAAGAACCCATCTATTAGGGAGCTCTTTCCCTTCGGAAAGTCCTCTGTACCTCTCCAGATGCTGAAGCGCAACCCGGACCTGCGAGCCCACGGGAAGGGGGTGATGGAGACAATTGGCTCGGTAGTCGCCGGTCTGGATGACCTAGGCAAGATTGTGCCCGTATTGAAGGACCTTGGGGCGCGGCACAAGATCTACGGCGCCAAACCTGGACACTTCAAGGTACTGACAAAACGCCAAACTGGCTAGCAATTAGCCTGGAACCCCATCATGCACTGTATTACTCGTTTATTAGTAACAGGCGGACAAACAAGGAACAAATAAGGAACAAAACTAAGCCAAAACAAAAATTAAATTTAACCAGCCCTAATTAAAGTACATAAACATAGTAAAAGCCCTCACCAAAAGTCTTAAAAAATAAGCTCAGAGTGGTGGTAAAAATTATCCCAAAGCTTGATGGTCATGTTTATCCGTATAGACACCCTCGTAACATGGCTAAATCTAACCACACCTCACGTTCACACCGGAAAGTATCTATATATTCATGAATGAAGAAAAATGGAAACAATGGGTGAAATAGCGATGTCGACCTAACCAAGCGCCCAGCATGAGCATAAACAGTTGCAGATTTTGATTCTTTTTGTGCGCGCATGGATTTCCCTCGTTTGTGTGTGTCTGTTGATTTTGTACGATAACCAGCCGTCGAGCAAATCGTAGGCGCAAACTGGCAAATTTTTGAATTTTTGTTTTAATTAAACAAAAATTCTCGCAAGATGTAAAGTGATTGCCTTATGTCGCATCACAACACTTAACTTTTGTGTGTCAAGGGGCAAGCCGTCCATTGCAAAAATGAAAAAAAAATCACGTTCATTTTGTTCCCTTTATGGAATTATTTTATCAATTGCTGTCATCGGCAATAATATTTTTTCTCTCTATTCGGTGCAGCCATTAATGGAAGCCTTCATGTACTCTGCGAGAAACGGTCTGCCACCCAAGGCGTTTACTTCGGATGTCCAAGAGGCTTGGGGTAACACTTGGAAGGTGCTAGCTGGTATCATGAACACAACTATGGAATAAAGTACATGATATATGACTAACACATTTTAGGCGGTCACGTGTTGCCACGGTACTTGGTTATTTATACCTGGTTATTTGACGTCATTTATTCGACAACTATAAAAGACTGCAACACTGACCATTTATTACGGTGGCGTAAAAACGCCACAACCTTTTTTTTTGACAAATTGCTATCTCGCCAGAGAAATATCGCCGCGGCTAAATGAGCACTTGCTGTTTTCAGTGAGAAAAATCTAGTGTATATAGGGTTTGGGGAGAATCTGCTTCTTAGTTTAACTCCTCATAGTAAGATAGTATTATTTGAAACACAAAAAAAAACTAAAACAAAGTTGGTTGTGTCCCTTTTATATACGATTTCCGTATTTTTTTTATCCAAGTTCAGTTGTGTAATTCTTTGTGTAATGTAGGATTAAAACAAATATGTAAATAAATGTAGTGTAAGGCTAGTACATTACACGACCGTTCCAGGAATAGCTGTCAACTCCATATGATTGAACGAAATTTTGGCACCAGCTACTCTGACAAAGTCTTACCCGCAAGATCGGTAATGAACTCAACCATGAAACAGCAAGGCAACTTGAATTGTTTATCCTGTATACGTTAGTCCTGACTCAGTGTCCGTCGTAAGAGGTCGCTATCCTAATGAAGTCCAGTCGGAGCAAACTAAACGAAACGTCGACGTAACATTTCAGCAGGTTTCTTTTAAAATGACTGGGCTGTTTTTGCCGAGCTTTCCACTCATCCGCAAATCCGGCCGGACTGACCAAATGTTAGAGGTGCAGCTGCAGCTACTCTCCAACCTCCCACAGACGTGCGTGTTTCATCAGGCGCAGCCACTTCATTTTGGACACATCCTTATTTGCCTTCAGTAACCTGTTATCTAAGAGTTCAGACTTCAACATAACCAGTCTAAAACAAATTTGTGAGGAGGTATGTCAATTCAGGGCCACCTGCTCGAAGTAGGCGTTATGGTTTTGTATCCAAATTTACATCTTAGCATGTTTACAAGATTTTGATAAAAATAATTTTGTGGAGAATTGAAAAACAGTAATAAAGTAGGCCATCAGCTTTACATTATCAGCCTTTTAAAGACTGAAGTTAGTGACTTACCGTGTTCAAGTTTCAAATTAATTTTGCCCCTCACAATTTTCATTGAAAAGGGAGAAGAGGCTAAAAAAACCCCTGATTTTTAACCACTATAGCTTCGCACCATTGAAGTTTATACATGTTCATCGTAGTCCGCAATGCATCTCAAGCGGCTTTATGACATTTCTGTTTTCACAAAAAATTTGTTTCTCAACAGATTCTGTAGACTAATACAGAATTACGACAAAGTCTGTCCCCAAAACTACTTGTTTTATATGACCTAATTGGTTTGGGGAAGTTTTAACTGAGTGTCGGACGAGGTGTGTGAGGGATCTAAGTATAAATTTTGAGGATTTAATATCCAACGTATACAATCAAATTCAGCACGATAAGAATAGGATGCCACTAGAATTTACATCATCATACAGTATAGAAAGTAAGATAAAAAAATGGTTTTTAATAGCTATAAAAGTGAACGATTCAATACTTGTTTCGTCTCTGTAAAAAGATACTGTTTTTTGACGTTTGTAGCCAATGATCCTTTTACTTGCACCACCTTTAGATTTTAGTTCTTGTATGAATGTTAATTTCGTATTTTTGGTAATTTCTTTTAACTGCATGTTATCTAATAAGAGAATTAATTGTGAAGTCATTGAGGCTTTATGACCGTTACTCAAGTACGATCGTCGCATTTGTTCAGTTTCATTGTAGGACTGACTATATTTTTTCTTTCTACAGAGTGGTTTGTTTGGATTTTTTCATTAAGGATGAATTCCACCGAGCCTGAATTGTGTAGTAACAATAAACGTTTTCCACACGTTTATACTCGACTTGGCAGCTCGTTTCAAGTTGCATTCATTATGATGTCAGCAAGATGTTGCAATTAAACTTCTTATACATGAATAGCTAGCGACAACCTGATGGGGGTATTCAGGATTGGGCTTAATAACCTGTGTAGTGTACTTCTGGTGATGCAGGAATCAAACATTTTCGATACTCAGGCTGGTGCCTTCATCCTTTGGAAATAAGCCTTTTGCGAGTTAAATTTGAATAAAATCTGGTACATTGAGTTCTTTAAATTCATGTGAACATAACAATTGGAATTCTCCTTACTAAAACAACTGTTGCTATGCCTCGTGATTCGGGGCAAGCTTTTGCTTAGTTACATAAGAGACGCCTTGCAGCAATACACTGTTCTCAATGGGAAAGAAGGGCACATATGAACCAGTCCATTCCAGAGATGGTGGTCGCTTAGCAAAAGCTTGCCCCGAGTCACGAGGTATAGCAACAGTGTCTTTAGTCTGGGGAATTCAAATTGTTATGTTTATGTGCAATCAGATATACTCAGTGTACCAGATTTTATTAAAATTTAACTCGCAGTGGCTTATTGTCAACTTCAGCTTAGACCCCCTATCCACGTGACTTTGTTTAGCCTGGAAACATGGACATCTGAGTGATTCGTTGTATGCTTTCTGAGCGTATCCCGCCAGGAATAATCTCAGTGTGTGTTCTGCTGTATGCAAAGTCATGCAAACTTGAAGTTTTGACGCCGAAAAGCCAAAAACGTGCTTTTCCAAAAAAAAAAATTCTCCCGATTCTAAACATTTGACCTTAGACAAGCCCTAGTGAAATATCATACGTCTTCTCCACTTCCTATTTTTGGTGAAATCGATGTACTTCTGAAAAAAAAAAACCAATTCTTGAAAGGTCTCATCGCACCCACCGTGACGTGATGACGATTCTGTTACATTTGATGAAAGTTGTATTCTATAACAAAAACTTAGTTTGTGTCATTTTCTTTTTCTTTAGCTTGCTACTCTCCTACGTAGCGTAAATAAAAATCCATGCCAGCAAATGAGATGAGGGTAACCAAAATCCTAATATATTGCTCTGCCGTAAATTCGAAAACTTGGTGAGAGGGCGTGTATCTCCTGTGTAATACACGTGCACTTAGGACTGCGTATTTGATAAGGACTACAGTTTCGTAGCGTTTGTTTTCCATTCTCAGCAAAATTTACAACATTTCTCTAAACCAAGTACCTCATAGAAAAAAACACGTGATGGATGCTGAGTGCATCTTTTGTGTGCCAGGAGCCCAGTACCTTTTTCTAAGGGCCAAGCGTGTATCATCCCTGGCCAAATTCACAAGGGTTCAAAAATTATTGTGGCAAAAATTATTATTTTCCTGCTGAATGAATGGTTGAGGGCGCCATTTACTGACCCAAAAACACAGCAGAGGTTTGCCTTTTGACATTTCGGTGATCTGCACTGAACGAAAATATGGCGACAGAAATTGGACGGACAGACTGCAGATGCCAGCGTTGTTTTTGTCGGTTTTTCCCCACCCCAGCATGCGGCATTGCAGCCCAATCAAATCCAATTTCTACCGCCAGAAAAGAGAGGGGTGATTAGGCGGCAGAGACTCATAAGGTCTACCAGTGACAAGGTAAATTTGTTGAAGGTTCATGATTTCTCCAGTTGCAAAACATTATTGTTGTTTCGATGCTGTGTGTGTTTATAAATAGCCACAGTTCCGGCAGGTAGTTCTTCTTTGATAAGAAGTTCATTTGGTGAAGTTCATTTGGTTTGATTTTAATGTAAATTAATACGTCTTTGAAGTTGCTTACATTGTGGGCCCAAAGGATGTGTAGAAAACTGGGAAAGCATTCCATATACGGACAATACTTGATGCTGCTGTGCACAAACCCACGAGATTTGTCTGAAAAAACCTAACTTGCTGAGGCCCAAGTGTTTTCTAAATTCTAAGTAGGCCTAAATGGTTTGGAATTTTCTCACCTAAAGTTCACTGTTTAGGACATGTTATCACTTTTTTGAGGCTGTTGTAACATTTTAAGGGAAAATCAGTTTTGTCCGTATGTGGAACTCTTTCTTATACTCTACAATGAGACATACAGTACATGTGTTGGCCCTACATCCTAGACCTGCATGTTACATGTATATGGCAAGCATGCTAGGCCTAATTAACAGCTTTGTACATGACACTCTAAACTAAGTGAATATGATGTGTTTGACACATAAAGATAGTTGGCAGTACCATTTCGATTGTAGCTCATGTGACGCACTCCAATGTTGCCCTTGACTTTTGTTATGTAGTGCTAGATTTCTTAGTTGAAAAGCTTCAAGTGTATTTGTTTTTTGAGGAAAATCGCTACACTGCCCAGTCTCAAATATACGTTTGTTATCATCAGCTGCCTTATTTTAGATTTAGCATTAAAGCGTTTTGTTTGCTTCATAGAAAATTTGTTGCTGTACATTTATTCAAAATATGAACTTAAGGATTGTGGCACGATTGTCCAGACATTGACACAAAAGTATTTTTAAATGAAATAAGAAAGTCCATCTGGAAAAAAATAGAAAAGAAAAAATAATCCTCCTTCATTGTTTCAAACCTGTGGATGAATAACCGTTTTAAATACATGTACGTGCTGGTGTCATCACTCATAGCACTTTGTTTCTAAAAAAGGAGAGAGCATTTGTAAAAATAATCTAAACAGTAGGATAAATGACACTCAAAATGGGAATCTCATGCTTTGAGGCAAGTTCATTAGATAGCTAATCTGGTCAACATGTACATGTACAGCATGTTCATCTGCCAGTCTACATGTATACAGTATATACATTGTATATTTGCATACATGTGCATGGTTGTCCCGATGAATCCGCAGCCTACATGTGTACATGTAATTTGACTTGACCTAGATTGTGGTACACCACAGGACCCTGGCATTCCAATCAAGTCCATACCAGCAACATGTATGAAGAAAGTTTGCATAAAATTGTAGAATTGTATAGTACATGTACATGTATGTAAATTGAAATGAATCACATGGCCATGTACATGTACATGCAGAACCATACATGTAGGTCTGAGTAGAGATGTTGTTACTCATTTTGTCACTTGGAAGTCTCTTGGAAGCAAAAGCATTGAAAAGGTGGATTTTCGTGTTGATGAAATGCTGAGCTTTGTTTCATAACATTTACCTCAGAATTTGTAAAGATGTACAGCATTACATTTAACATCAGTTGAAAAAAATATGGATCTGTCAGTTTTGCTCATCTCGCTCAGTAGTGGCCAAGCCTTAAAATTTGGCTGCCAAGTTTAAACTTTGGAATCAGATTACCTTAAACTCGAATATGTCTTTTCATACCAAAAATCCCATCTGTGTTTATAAGTGTTCAAAATGAAATTGCTTCCCATATTTACAAAACAGAATCTGCCTGTACCTCTTACGCAGCCCTATGTGCCTGGAAATGGCCTGGACCTGAAGCTTACATCGTGTCCCTTAAATGGGTCCTGCACCACATGCTTTGCACCCTGCCTGCATTTTGATATTTTTTCATTAATCTAACCAAGGTTGACATTTAGAACTGGGTGGACACTGGGTACCCCCAAGTGGTTAGGCATTAGGTACATGTACATGTACCTGTCCTGTAACCTTTGTCCAGTGTGCACTGAATTGTGGACACTGGATACCCTCATGTGTGGTCGTGTATTAGATACATGTACCTGTCCTTTAGCCTTTGTGCAATGTGCACTGAATTGTTATCTTGGGCTTAAAATGAACAGTTTTCTTAGACTGGTACTGATAGCTTTATTCAAACTAAGCTGTTGTGCATGTGCATCTATTCAACCCCCCCCCCCAAAAAAAAAACCTAGTGAAATACACTTCAGTGTCTGTCCTACAATATACATGTAGTCCAAATAAATAGAAACTTTTGTAATTGTCTTTCAATTAACATTTGCATCCCCACTTAATTGAAAGATGCAAAGAGATGCAGAGGTGCCTGGGTCTGTAGAGCATTCACCCGTCCACGTGAAACAGGAACCTGGAGAAGGAACATCCCGACAGTCATCCTCAGAGAGCGCCAAGGCGGCCTCCTCCACCTCTTGTCCTCCGGATGATACCACGGTCATCAGCGATGCTGAGGACAGCGACAGGGGTAAATGTCTGAAATCCACCAGACCCTGATCAAATACTCAAGCCAGATGGCATTAGTTATCCCACCAGCGTGAGTGGCACACTGAATAATGTTGCATGCTCTATGTTGCCTGTACCATTATTCTGTGTACCAAGAGCGCAGGTAGGTTAATGAATTTCTTTTCAAGCAAACTAAGGATTCACAAAGGGTTGCGCAGCTCTGAATTGTTCCACATAAAGGATGCAGTATGTACAAGTGTCTCTGGAAGAGCACAATACAAGTACATAATGTATGTGGAGAGCAGTATTGACGGTGGTACATGTATGTGGGTACTTACATGTACAATGTATGATCGTTTATTCAAAATCAAAGATTCAAGTTTTCTTAGGGATAATAACGTTTGTGAACCAGATGTGCAGTGATATGTTCCCACAGTCTGACAGTTGGTTTCCAGATTCCCAATATGTTACTTATCTGAAGGCCTTAGGGTATTTTGGATGAAGGAAGATGCACAACATTACCGGGACTTGGGACACACCAGGTGGGGATTCTGAAGAACATTACTTGGGACACAACCATGACAACAGGTGGGGATTCTGAAGGTGTGGGACATTACTTTGGACACACCAGGTGGTGATTCTGAAGGTGTGTGATATTACTTTAGACATACCAGGTGGTGATTCTGAAGGTGTGTTACATTACTTGGGACACACCAGGTGGGGATTCTGAAGGTGTGCGACGTTACTTGAGACATACCAGGTGAGGATTCTGAAAGTGGGTGACATTACTTTAGACAT